TAATCAGTCAAAATTAATGCTTAATCATGTGGTAGTTTTCTTACTCATCTTTAATAGGATTCTAGGACAATTACCCCCAGAAAACTACCCGAAGGACTATTACTCCCGGAAAATTACCCCAAAATGACCAACCTCCCCCGAGGATAATTACCCCCGGAGAATAACTCTCTAACACAATTAACTCCCCCCCCCCCCCCAGGACAGTAACCCCCCTCTCCCACCAAAAATTAACCTCTTAACAACTAACCCGAAAAACAAATCTGCTTTTATTAAGCCAACTAATTATCAGGTAGACTTCCCCTTTAATGAACAGGGGGGGGGGGGTATGTGGTTGAGGATGGTTGTCCTTGGGGAGGGGTAATTGTCCTAGAGCAATTTTGGGGGAGTGGTCATTTCCACGGGGGGGGGGGGGCAATTGTCCTAGGGGTATATTTCCGGGGGTTGGTTGTCCTTTGGGTAATTTTCCAGGGGGTTATTGTCCTGGGAGGTGGTTTTCATGGTGTTCCTAGTCCTCAATGCAAAGAAATTTCTCTTAGCAAAAAGATGATAAAAAGTGCTTAAATTTCATGCCTAAGAAGTTTATTGGACTCAGGAGTATGTTGCTGTATTAAAAACTAACTCCGATAGTACAACAGATGTCACAAATTAAATTAATCATGAGTAAAGCAAACTAAAAATAGGTCACGTCAATGAAAATGACACCAGACCAGTAAATACCGAAGTACATTATTCCAAATGGCCACAAAAAATGTTGGTTAGGTGTCTGTCACGAATCAGTTTGACGGTGTGACGCAGGTATGAGTTTAGTTAAGTCATTAGAGACTATACAACTTTTGCTTCCTAAAGGATTCTGCATTTCCTTTTACAAGAAAACCTACTCAGACCACAATTAACAATATCGCGATCATAGTGTAAATGATTGTGCTATTCTCAAAGGAAGTAAAGCTGGACTCAGTTTTTTTTTTTTAAATTGACGGAAACTCTGTTTCTTTACGTATACCATCAAACACAGTCCTTTAGCAAATAAGAAATTCCAATCAGAGACAATGTTTATTGCAAATATTTGGGTACATCTTTCAGGTCGACTGATGACTACAGGCTTTGCTGTTTGTTCGATGAGACAGATGTGTGCACCATTGCTTCCCCGCACTTCCTGGACTCCTGCTCCCGTCTCATGCCAAACACAATCTTAAGGATAGCCATGTGGGTCATAGGGTGGGGCGCCCTCATCGGCAATACCATAGTTATTGTCTTGCGGTGTCGTACTGATCATTCAGTCAGCGCAAAGACTCAGGGACTGTTCATCTCCAACCTGGCTATAGCGGATTTTATGATGGGAGTCTACATGATCATAATATCGTCAGCAGATGTGTACTACGGAGAGTATTTCTATCTCTTCGCAGTGCAATGGCGCGGATCGGTCACTTGTAAAGTTGCAGGATTCATCGCTGTTCTATCCAGCGAAACGTCTGTCTTCATACTTGCAATCATTACGATAGATCGAGTCTTTAACGTCGTGTTCCCCTTCGGTAAATTGAAGTTTCGGGCTACTTCTGCTCGCATTGGTGTGGCGCTGATATGGACCATTGCTTTTGTAGTGAGCATTGTTCCTTTGATTGTTAGCTCTTACATCAGCGGTTTTTATGGCCTGTCAGATGTTTGTGTTGGACTCCCACTCAAGGTCGAGTCCAACGACACTGAGAAATTAGTATTTAATTACGATAGTTTGGTGTGGGAAAAAATCCAATATGAAACAATAAAGCGACCAAGTTGGGTTTACTCAATCGCCCTCTTTCTCGGTGTGAATTTCTTGATCTTCATCTTCATTCTGCTCTCCTACGTCGTCATATTCGTTAACGTTCGCAAGTCGGCACGTAGTGTGGCCAATCCAGTCGGTGGTTCGGGTAGTATTGACCGCGCCCGGGAAGTGAAGATGGCAACACGCATGGCTATCATTGTCCTGACGGATTTCTTTTGCTGGATGCCGGTGATCATCATGGGTATCCTTTCGCAAACAGGTGCTGTCATCCTACCGGTATCCCTCTACGCCTGGTGCGTTGTATCAATCAGATATGATTATTTACGTCTGGGGACCGACTTTTAACGTCACCATCCGAAAGACGTGACTCAGTTTCGAACCTGCGTTCTCGGCTGAATCAGTTTGTAACTTCCACTGTTAGCTGGATTACAGGCGCACGCCACAACGCCTAGTCGAACTGCCTTACTGAATATCTTTCCTTTACTTACACGTATAAGAAGACAATTATGTACTAGTTAGTAAAACAACACTTTTGCTAGTTTCATTAAATCATCAAATATAACCTTCGGTACAACCCCTTATTCTTGATCGGATAACTTTTACACAAATAATATGCCCAAATGAAACATGATAATTCCCCTAACATGACTAAAATATGTAAATTATGCTAATTTTTCTTCATTTGCGCCATTGCTGTAGCGTATGCACATATGCACTGACCAATCAGAGCTCGTCTGACTAAAATAGGGTGTAAAAATACATCCCTCAAATATACACCCTTACGTATTTTTCCAATTTCGTTTTACTCCCCAAGAACACCTTTTATTTCTCTGTGTGTAAGACAACTGCCCCCATGACAACAACCCCTAGGACAGTTGTCCGGGGGTAGTTGTCCTAGAGGATGATGGTCGTAGGGGTAATTTTCTTGGGGTAGTTGTTGTTGTTGTTTTTATTTCCGAAATCAGATTAAAAAAAAACATTATACATAGTAAAATATCCAAAGTAAAATATTTATATATGTACATAGACAAAAATCGGTGGAAAGCCCAATTCAGCAGTGTTTATAGAACGCTGCTGTTCTTCCTTGGGGTCCTTACACAACAACAATATTAACATAAAAGCGACATAAAGCAGAATAGAAACAAAACATAAATAAAACTTTTTTTAAATACCAGAGTAACAAAATATTCAAAAATAATATCATACGCGTACACCCACACACACACACACACAGAGTTATGCAAAATCATTTGAGTCTAAGGAAGTGTGTTAAGAAAAATTATCAGTTATTAGGGTATGGAAGGATCTTAACGTAGTTACATTTCGGATGTGTTCTGGTAGTTGCTTATATTGTGTCACCCCCTATAGAAGAATGTTCTTTTGCAATTATTTGAATTCGGTTTAGAGAGATCTAGATTTCGGGATGAGCGAAATGAATAATTATACGTGCGATATTCGATATTATTTGACATATAAGACGGAGTGTAATTATTTAATATCTTAAAAATCATAGTACATAAATGCTTTTTGTAATGGCAGTCTAGAAAGTCCCAATTTAGAGTATCATTAACATGTTGATTGGATGTATGAGAATAAGGATTTACTTTCATTATCACACGGCCCGCCCTGTTTTGAAGCTTTTGTAAAAGTGAAAGGGAGGATTTAGTTGCGGACTGCCAAACCATGTCTCCATAGTCGAAATGTGAAATAATTATGGATTCGTAAATTAGATTGAAATCAGATTCATTTATAATATGTCTTAATCTACCAAGGAAGCCAATAAGTTTACTGATTTTCTGACACATTATATTTAAATGATCATCCCATTTCAATTCATTGTCTATATTGATACCGAGGTATTTTGTACTGACAACCTTAACAATTTTGTATCTCTTATTTTCACATTAAGATAGACTTGGTTGAGTTCGGACGTGTGCTGGTTGTGCTCCGGTAAAACGGGCCATCCACCTGCTTTCCGGGAAGCAATTAATAATAAAAAATATATCTTTTTCAAAAGCTCAGTGTATTGAGTCTTTTGGGATCTTTGATTTTTATTTTGGATCAACATTTTATAGTTTTATCATCGTTTTTTAAATCTTAAATTTGTTTTTTGGAAAAGGATTATTATTTCAAATCATAGCGTTGTTTTTGTCATCAAACTTCAAAGTCATAGTAACAGGCGTATACGCTGGGAACGCATCCAACAAGTCTTATCAACGCGCAGCGCAACAAAGTCAGCTGTGGCTCAATTTTCAATTGTGACGTCATCAGAGTTGTCTACGTGACGTCACCTGAATATCCTTTACTTGAATATATATGCTAATATATGCACATTTATGTTACTATTAATATGAAATAATATAAATAATATAATAATTACATATTACTGGATTTGTGGAGATATATATATCCATGTATGCATGTTATAGATGTATGCATTTTGTTACGCTTTGTACTGATATGTGCGTTGGGTGTGTTTGAGTGCTGATAATATTAATATTATTTAGTTAACAATTCAGTATTTATTGTTTTTTATTTTTCCTGTTTTACGTTAATCATAATTTGCTCTTGAACCGGTTGGGTGAGTGGTACATACGCGGCATTATTTTACTTGTAGGCTCTGTATAAGCTTGGCTTGTTAGAGCTTTTGTGAGTAGTGTGCCGCGGGGTTTCATATCCTTAAACTGCTGGCGAACAGAGCAACAAGACCAAGCTTTATAATTGTTAGGTTTATCCAATAATAGTTTGTCCAATAATGCCGAGTTTGTGCCACGGAACTTAGTCGGACATTTCAATTATATTCTTTTTATGTCATACGTCTTTATCTTTTTTATATGTTAGTCTACCTTGCTGATACCTCCTCAAAATATATATGATAGACTATCATTAATTCTGCTGCATTACCATATAGGTTCATAATATATAGTACATATATTATACATAATTTTTTATATACATTTTTTTTTCTTTCTTTCTTCCCCGTAGCATGAGAGTAATTTTAATTGCTTCATTCTTGTAATTAAGTGAAATGTTATTCGTTATTGTATAATTGTGTTAAGTGGGGGCACGCAACAAGAGTCCTATCTCGCACCCCGGGGCAACGTGTCTGACACGGCCGGTTGTAGCAACTACTTCGAAGATCAAGATTAAGATTTAGATTGAGAATAATAATAATTTAGACTTAGACTTAGAGTAATATTAAGATTACGATTAAGATCAAGACCAACATAACATAATGAAAATGCCCAATAGAGCAGCATCCCAGAGCAATTCCGCTGAGGGACCCCTCTCACGACCGGCCCTGACGGTGCTATCATGGAACGCCGAAGGTATATCAGATGCCAAGGAGGAAGTCCTTGCACATATGTGCAAACAAATGAACTGCGATGTGCTATGTCTTCAAGAGACTCACCGCGGCAGCGACAATCCACGGCCCAAGATCAAGGGTATGAAGCTTGCCATCGAGCGGCCACATCGCCAATATGGAAGTGCTATCTTCATGAACGAGAAGATCAGACCGGATTCTACATCCTATACCCACAATAACGACATCGAAGTGCTGAATGTGACAATCAAAGGACTAACGATCTCCTCCATCTACAAGCCACCAAACATAAGTTTTTCGTATCCTTCCACCACTACCAATAGGCATATTGTAATTGGCGATTACAACAGCCACAGCACGCAATGGGGATATGATACCACTGGAGATGATGGAGCACTAGTTGAAACATGGGCCCAAAACAACGACCTAAAACTAATCCACGATCCAAAGCTCCCAAAGTCTTTCGCCAGTGCCCGCTGGAAGAGACGTTACAACCCGGATCTAGTTTTCTGCAGCAGGCTGCTTGCTCCCACCAGTCGTAAGTTTGTAGCTGAGCCGATTCCAAGATCCCAACACCGACCCATCGGCATTCAACTGACTGCAGTTATCACACCAAACAAGACCCCGTTCAAGCGCAGGTTCAACTTTGCTAAGGCAGACTGGCCTGCTTTCACCGAACACCTTGATCATGCCCTAACACATCTCCCTGCAGATCCAAAGAACTATGAATCCTTCATAGATATAGTCAAGAAGGTGTCACGTACACATATCCCAAGAGGCTGCCGCACGACATACATTCCAGGCATCGATGAGGAATCAAGTCAGCTTCTGGCAAACTACACCACAGCCTACGACACAGATGCCTTCTCAGAGGATACCATCAACCTTGGAGAAGAGCTTATATCAAGGATATCTCAACGACATAGGCAGATGTGGCAGCACATGATTGAAACAACAGACTTAAGACACAGCAGCAGGAAAGCGTGGGCCACCATACGCAAGCTCGGAATTGACAGCACCAGAGCTCAACAGCATTATAATGTTACGGCTGACGAAGTAGCAAATCAGCTGTTGAAAAATGGAAAGGCCCCCAAGACGACTAATTCACACAGGCACAAACTACCTGGAGTTGACCAGAACATGTCTCTTTTCACAAGACCTATTTCTGAAGAAGAACTACAGAAAGGTATCTCCACGCTACACGTCAACAAGGCGGCAGGCATCGATGACATCAGATCGGAGCAGATCAAACACATGGGCTCTGTAGCACAAAAATGGCTGCTAGACATGTTTAACAACTGCATCGAGAACACATGTGTCCCAAAACAGTGGCTCCGAACCAAAGTCGTCGCTATCCTCAAGCCAGGAAAGGACTCGAACGAAGCCAAGAACTTTCGACCGATCTCGCTCCTGTGCCAAACATACAAGCTGCTTGAACGCCTTATTCTCAACAGAATTGGGCCTCACGTTGACAGCCAACTGAACTGTGAGCAGGCAGGTTTCCGACCAGGAAAATCCACCACGGGACAACTTCTCAACCTGACCCAACACATCGAAGACGGTTTTCAGAACAACCTCATCACAGGTGCAGTATTTGTGGATTTATCTGCGGCTTATGACACTGTCAATCACCGAAGGCTACAGACAAAACTTCATGACATCACAAATGACCTCAAACTCACCAGATTCATTCAGAAGATGATGCAGAACAGACGCTTCTTTGTCGAACTGGATGGGCAGAAGAGCAGATGGCGGAAACAGAAAAACGGTCTCCCCCAGGGTGGCGTCCTGGCGCCAACACTCTACAACATATACACTGCTGACATCCCTTCAACAGAGAACACTCGAAACTTCATCTATGCAGATGACACCTGCATCACAGCCCAGCATAGTACCTTCGAAGCTGTTGAACTCCATCTCAACACAGCGCTCGCAAGCCTTTCGGAGTACTACAGAGCAAACTACCTACGGGCAAACCCATCCAAGACTCAGGTGTGTGTTTTCCACTTGAAGAACAGGGAGGCAAAGAGAGAACTGAAGCTAAAGTGGAACAATGTGCAACTTAACCACTGCGAGCATCCAGTGTATTTAGGTGTAAAACTTGACCGCACTTTATCCTTCAAGAAACATATCGAGAAGACAATAGGCAAAGTAGAATCTCGAAATGCCATCATCGGGAAGCTAGTATCTTCACACTATGGCGCTGACCCCAAAACTGTACAAAGTGCAGCTGTTGCTCTATGCATGTCATCCGCAGAATATGCTTGCCCAGTTTGGAGCAGATCAGCCCATGTGAAGAAGCTTGACACCACACTCAATAACACATATCGAAAGATAACAGGATGTCTGAAACCAACAAAAGTTGAGGAGATATATCACCTCGCTGGCATTGGATCTCCTAACCAAAGGCGCACTAACACCTGCCTAAAGGAACGGATGAAGCAGGCGACAGATGACAAACACATGCTACACGGATACTTACAACCCCACAAACGACTTATATCCCGACACAGCTTCCTCGATTCTGTCCCACCACCTGAACAGAATCCTCCACCATCAGTCAAGCCCGTACTCATCAAAGGTCTTAACCTGAAGTGGCCGGAGTGGCAATGCCTAAATCGAATGCGGACGAGAATGGGACGGTGTAAGGTCAATATGGCAAGATGGGGCTATGCCCATGAAGGAGATACTCTCTGCGACTGCGGAGAGACTCAGACGATGGACCACCTCTTGCAGTGCGGCGGAACGGGTTGCACAGATGAAGACCTGTCCCTTGTTAATGAAACGGCCATTGCAGCAATCGAGCGATGGAAGAACTTAATTTAATTTAATTTACTTCTAAGTTAAGGAACTTTACATTACTATCTTGATCTAAGGAGACACGAACGAACGAACATTAAGTACATTACACTTTGATAACTTGTGACGGGTGCCAATGCATGGTAACAGTTTTTGTATAATTAATTAATAACTCATTGCGAGACATCCATTTATCAAGATATTCCATTTCATCATTTAAGACAGATTCAACAACAGTGGGACATTTATGCGAAAAATAAATTACGGTATCATCTGCGTATAGATGTACATAACAAAGATTGACAATTTTGGGCAGATTATTTATAAATATCGTAAATAAAAGTGGGCCCAATAGTGAACCCTGGGGCACACCATGAGTTAAAACTCATTCATTTGATATAACATTATTAATCATGGTAACTATTCTTCTCTCATACAGATAGCTCTCAAACCATTGTAACGACATTTTATCTACCGATAGAATACAGTTTATTTAGGAGCACCTGATGTTCAACCGTATCGAACGCCTTCTGTAGGTCTACGAAGACTGCCCCCGTGTACCTGCCTTCATCCATTGCCATTAACCAATCATCCGTAACTTTAACTAAAGCAGTGACAGTTGAATGGCGAGCCCTAAAACCAGACTGAACAGAATCCAGTATATTGTTTGCATGAAGATGGCTAACTAATTGGATTGGGATTTTTATTACTTTAGAAATACAAGGGAGCAAGGATATAGGCCTATAATTGTCTGGATTAGATTTATCACCTTTTTTATGAAGCGGAATTACTTTAGCTATTTTCTATCTTATTGGGACTTTACCATCAGTTATAGATTTTTTAATCAGATATGTAATTGGTTTAATCAAAATATCCACACAAGACTTGAGTACATGAACGGTTATACTGTCAACTCCGCATGATTTATTATTTTTAACTTATTAATCTCTCTCATTACATCAGCTTCAGAAACAACAGATAATTTCAACTTATTGGGACAAGGTGCATCATTAATAGTTGAATAAAATTTATTTTCCCTAAAGTTACTTTCTTGATGTTTTTTCAACAACTCTGTTACAACATTAGCAAAATGATCGTTGAATCGAGATGCTTTATTAAACAGATCCAGACATGCATGACTTGGAGAGACGTTATTTTTCGGTAAAAATGATTTCAGAACTTTCCATGTATCGATCTGATTTGTACATTGAAATAACTTATTCGTATTGTATTGCTTTTCGCTTTTTTGATAGCATATGTACCCCTATTTCTTAAACGTCTATATTCAGTCCATTGCTCATTACTTTGCTTAACAATAGCTTTCTTTTTAACTTTATCTCTCTCTTTCATCAAATTAAAAATTGACTCATTTAACCAAGGAGAGCATTGCTTCCTCATCCGTTTCGTTCTCAAAGGCATATATATGATTGTTTATCACAGATAATATCATAGCTTCCCAATTCTTAGCGGAATCATCAATATCAACAAAATGTTCAACGTCGCTCCAATCAATATTTTTTAAATCATTTCGAAAAGCAGTTGTCCGGGGCGTAGTTGTCTGGGGGTAGTTGTCCGGAAGTAGTTGTCCTAGGGGGTAAATGTCCTAGGGGTAGTTATCTAGGGGTAGTTGTCCGACGATAGTAGTCCCGGGTGTAGTCGTCCAAGAGGGTGGTTGCCCTAGAGGGTCTCAAGCATTAAGCTCTGGGTTCTCGGAGACTCTGACCTGTGTCCATGTGGTCTATTTTAGACTGATGAGCATGTTATGAATGAGTGAGCTGTAGCAGAACCCCATGTCCTCTCAATGTTATCGAGAACCCATAACTGGCGTCAAGTTTACACAAGTGTAAGTTTAAATAGCTTTGGTTGATATACGAAAATATAAATAATAATAGTAAAAAACAATTATTTGAACTTGTTCCAAAAAAAATTTGACATAATTAAAAAAAGATTGTATAGATAGAATTAGAAAAGAATTCCTCAAATTTTCCATGCACACTTTTGGACACTTTTGCCTCCAAATACTTTGACGATCAGGTAAAGGAAAAGGAAAAGGGGCGCTAGCATTTATTAGTATTAAAGAAAGTTGCTCTTTCTGTTTTTATTTCAGTATTGGGGACACGGCTCTCTCATCCCTACGGATCCGCCTTTGTAACTTACAAAACAACTTTGGTTATTTATTTTTGTTTGTTTTACATGAGTGCTAACAAATTAATGTGGGTTTGTCATTAAGCATACGGGGGACCGACGCACAGTGGGCCAGGGAGGGACCAAAGTGCGCCAAAACTATTTTTGGGTGATTTATTTTTTTCAATTTTTTTCTTGCCCAGTTGAAAGGTAATACATAGAGGAATACCTCAGTGAAATATTTAATTCCGGTATGCACAATAAGGGTATAAATTTACTACTTCAATCAGCAAAATCCTACATATTCACAGTTTTAGTGCAAAAGTGACCTATTTTATAAATCTTTCAAATCAACATGAAGTTTTTAAGTCATTGATATGAAATTGCTCTCACATATTCCTGATAGTTCATTTCGTTGAATGAATGGGTTAAAATTAATAAAAACACAATCTTCATGATATATTATAGGGTAATTCACTGAAAAATGGACTAATTATCCATGTTTTTTATAAATCCAGAAGAAATGTTTAGATATTCGCGGTGTACCGCTTAAATTTTAATACCACCCTTTCCTCTGATGTCTAAGCTTCAAGTTGATACCAAATTTGGCTGCCCAAACTTTCCCATTGTTATGTTAGAGCCGATTTCCCTTGCCACATTGCCCCGAAAATGTGGGTTTTTGGGGTCCGCGGATGAATCATGAAGGATTCGTGGTCATAAATCACGGCGCGAGGGGGCGCGTGACACTTGTTCTGACACCGCAAACCATCTACAAAGTCCTCAAGCAGGTTCATCCAGATACCGGCATCTCCAGTCGGGCCATGGTCATCATGAACAGCTTCGTCAACGACATCTTCGAGCGAATTGCCGGCGAATCTTCCCGCCTCGCTCAGTACAACAAAAAGTCAACCATTATTAGTCATCCCGTGCAGGGCTCCAGTTTCCAGTGGGACGTGTTCATCGGTTTTGGTAGCGATATACTTCTTTATTGCTTGCAGCGAGGAGCCATTGCGGTCCTTCAACTCGGTGATTGCTGTAGCAACCATAGGGTTATACGCAGCGAAACGAGTAAAGATGCAGCGAAACGAGTATGTCAAGCAATCAAATAAATAATGTGTATAATGAATATAAGACATAATCAAGATTACACAACAGTATATAGCAATATTAGCCCCACAGTCGTGATGTTGACTTTTTGTTGTACTGAGCGAGTACAGTATGATGCGTCCACGTCTTTGTGTGTTTTTGGTTAGTTTTTGTTTGTGTGTGTGTGTTGTGATGTTTTGTCTTTGTATTAGTGTTGTGTCTTTTTATGCTAAGGTGAAAGGTGCAAAAATGCTATCATTGGTACACTTGTCGATATTTAATGTTCAATTTAATGATCTAAGGACAAATGAGGTGTTGATCGAATATACACGTATATTAGAAAATGTAATAATGCATGATGGATAGGAAGAACGATCTGTTGAATTTTGTTTCATTGAATGTTAAGGGTCTTAGAGACGTTACCAAAAGGAATGCTATAGTAAAGTGGAGTAGACAGAGAGGAGATATAATTTTTTTCAGGAAACTTTTAGTACAAACGATGTTGAGGATCGATGGGAGAGAGAATGGAGTGGGGAGTGTTTTTTTAGTCACGGGAGCAACCACAGTCGAGGACTTTGTATTCTGATTTCACAAAAACTGAAGTTGAAGGTATTGAGAAGTAAGTGTGATTCAGACGGGAGGTACATTATTTTAGAAATTGAGGTACAAAACATAAGATACATTATCTGTAATGTTTATTTTCCAGTTCGATAAAAAAAGCAGGAACAAATAGATTTTTTAAATCATTTAAGTGTTCGCTTAAATAATTCAATTTAAACAAATCCCTTATGATAATTGTTGGCGACTTTAATATGATTCGGAATTTTGAATTGGATATTTCAAGTAAAGGGAGTACTAGAGGTCAAAAGTTTAATTTAGAATTCGAGGATTTCCTTGGAAGGTTTGATATGCTGGATATATGGAGGAAAAGAAACCTAGATACGATTCAATTTACTTACAGACAAAATAACCCTTTAATTCAAAGTAGGTTAGACTATTGGATAGTTTCAAACGAACTGGAGAAACAAATTGCCGAGTGTAATACAATACCCTCCATAGCTCCTGATCACTCTGCCATCCATCTAGGTTTGTCTTTGGGTGATAATTTTTTTCAGAATATAGGTCCATCTTACTGGAAGTTCAATAATAGTCTGTGTTTAGATGTAGAATATGTTCAATATATGAGAGCAGAAATTAAATCTGTCGTAGATCAGGGGAAGAAAGATATTACAGACGCCAGAGTCCTGTGGGATTTCGTTAAAATGAAAGTTCATGAAAAAACCAAAGAAATATTCCAAAGGTAGGGCACAAGAAACGAAGGAAAACCTACGCAAAATACAGAGAGATATTCAGAAGCTTGAACTTTCATTGGTTATTTCTCCAGATAATGATACCTTACAAAATTTAGAGTCAAAGAGAAAGGAACTCAAAGTGTTATATGATCAGAAAGTAGTTGGGTTAAAAGTTAGATCGCGTGCAAAATGGTTTGAAGAAAGTGAAATCAATGAAAATTATTTTAAACAACTGTTGGCATCCAATCAGAAAAAAACATTTATAGACAAATTACAATTAGATGGTAGGAATGAAGAAACATCTGATCCAAAACAAATTTTAAAAGAAATTAAACATTTTTATCATAAACTATACTCAGAAAATGAAAAGATGGATAGGACAGATGATCTCTTTTTTAATATGTCTCACTTAAATATAAGTGAAGCTAGTAAGAAGTTGTGTGATGAGAAAATTACATTTGGGGAATGTACTTCAATGTTAAATAAAATGTCTTTAAACAAATCGCCTGGGAATGACGGTTTGTCAGTGGAATTTTATCGCATTTTTTGGCCTGATATAGGGAACCTTGTTTTGGACTCCTTCAATGCCTCCTTTGAGAAGGGTGAATTGTCCACCACACAGAAACAGGGTGTAATAACGGTAATAAAAAAAGAAGATAAAAACCCTTTATATATTCGCAATTACAGACCGATTACCCTCCTTAATGTGGATTATAAACTTTTGTCTAAAGTGTTGGCGGAAAAAATAAAGAATGTATAGGAAGAGGTGATACATGTAGATCAAGTTGGATTTTTGCCTGGTAGGAATATAGGAGAAGCGGTGAGAATTATTGACGATGTCATATTTTTCACACAGGTATACAAGGTACAGGGTTTTCTAGTAACAGTTGATTTCGAGAAAGCTTTTGACACTGTCTCACACTCATATATGAATTTCTTACTGAAAAAATATGGTTTCGGCCCATATTTTTGTAGATGGATAGAAGTATTGTATAAAAATGTAGTTAGCTGTGTCATGAATGGGCGCTTTTCCACTGGCTATTTTGAAATAGGCAGGGGAGTAAGACAGGGAGATCCCTTAAGTCCATATTTATTCTTGTTAATGATAGAAACATTAGCAGTGGTTATTCGCAATGAACAAAAATTAAAAGGTATTTTGATAGGCAATATAGAGACGAAGATAGTAATGTATGCGGACGACTGTTCAATTTTTTTGAAAGACACAGAAGACATGAAAATCTTAGAAAAAATATTAGATTCCTTCTCTCAGGTATCTGGATTAAAAATTAATAGGGACAAAACACAAATTATGAAGCTTGGTTCTTCTGGTCACAGTAATGAAAATTTGACCGGTATAACATTAGGTAAGATGGTTTCTCTGGTAAAAGTTCTTGGAATATACTTTTCTTTGGATATTAATGTTAAAGAAGAAATGAATTATAAGGAAATACTGAGCAAAATAAAAAGATTGTTAGGGTGGTGGAAGCAACGGGATTTAACACTTTTTGGGAAAATTCAATTGGTTAAAGTTTTTGCAATCTCTAAATTACTATATGTGTCTTCTATAATTTCGGTACCACCAAGTGTTTTCAAGGAAGTTGAAAAGATATGTTTTAATTTTATATGGAATGGACAGGATAAGATAAAAAGGAATATTTTATATTTGAACTATGATAAAGGGGGTTTGAAAATGTTGAATTTCAAGTACATGATCTATGCACAGCGTGTAGTGTGGATTAAGAAACTGCTTGGTGGCAATAATGACATGAAATGGAAACAATTTTTCGAATATATATTCAGAACGGTAGGAGGAAAGTTAATATTTCTTTGCAATTATAATCCCAAAACAATCACCATTAAGGCACCCAATATATACTTGGATTTTTTGAACATCTAGAATTATCTAAAGGAGAAGGAATATATTGTAAAAGAAACACATAATGAAAATCAAATTATCTTTAACAATATTTTTATTGAAGGTAGGATAATTCCTTTTAATGCAAAATTATTTCATGTGATTATTTTTCAAGTTAAACATTTGACGGATGCTGAAGGTGATATGAGATCAGGGGACTATTTCATAAGGAAAGGTCTTAATGTAGACGATCTGTTTTTTCTTAATGATCTATACACCAAATTGCCAGCTGCCTGAAAGATTAAAAGAATTTGCAGTGGGAGAGATGATACTCTAAATGACACTGTTGATCTTTCCAACATTAACTTTATCATTAACAAAACAGTGTATTCTTTTGAGTCTGTCTCTTCCAAAATGCTCTATAACATTTTTATTGCTATAATACAAGATGCATTTGCTTTTAAACATCCAGAGGTAATAGCTTTAAATCTAGATAAGTCAGAAACTACAACATGTTTCTCAATCCCTAGATTTTCCACTCTGGATGGGAAGTTAAGGGAATTTCAGTATAAACTTTTACATAACATCATCTTTTGTAATGATAAATTGTATCTTTTTGGATTAACACAGTCAAATTTATGTTCCTTTTGTAGAAAAGAAGTAGAAACCTATCGTCATATCTTCTTTGAATGTTCTGAAGGGTCCAGAATATGGAATGAGATGGGAAACAGTTTAAAGATGTTTCAGTTTCTTAATATGCAATGGATTGATGTGTTGCTTGGTTTCAGAAAAAATATGAAAGATAATATATTGTTAAATCATGTATTGATTTTGGTCAAATATATGATTTACAGTAATCGTAAAAAAGGAAAGTTCCCATCTAGTAAAGAAATATGTAAGGCTGTAGAGAACTCAAAAAAAGTTGAACATGAAAAAGCAAAATTAAAGGACAAACTGCCAATACATTATCAAAAATGGGAAAATTTTACCCCTTAAGGCAGGGGAACCGATTGTATTATATTGTAATTCCTGTTTCCTGTTCACTCCCTCACTTTCTCATCGATCCGGACACTTACCTGCTATCGTGTTTGCTTGTTGTTTATATTTTATATTTTTATTTTTTTAAATAACGGTATAGTTAAAGACCTCCACTGATACAAGACCCTTATATAGTTGTAATAAAAAATGCACCATATCATTGTATGTAAATATAACACATTTTGTTATCATGGTTTATGAAGCAGCACCTTCACCTTATATTTTTGTTTATATAAGAAAATCTTTGTTCAGATTGCTTAATTTATATTGAATTAATTAATTTGCTTATTATGTTACAAAAATTGTTCCTTTGTATATTGTTGTATCCAAGTATTACTGTCACCTTTTTCTTTTTAAAGGAATTGGAGCATATTCTGTACACTTGGTTTGAATGTGTACTTTATTAGTTTGGATACTCATGGAAAATATTTTTTAAATATGTCTGTGTTTAAAATGTATGAGACAATGTACTACATATATGTTTATACTGTAAGAACAATTGTGTTCCTATTCATCATTTTGTATAATTATGAAGATCTGAATAAAGGCAAAAAAGCTTTAAAAAAAATATATAAAAAAAAAGACCAAAATAAACACATTTTTCGGGGCAATGTTGCAAGGAAAACAGCTCTAACATAATAACGGGCAGAATCGGGCAGCCAAATCTGGTATCAACTTAAAGCTTAGACATCAGAGAAAATGTTGGTAATACAATTTAAGCGAAAATCCCTGGAAATCTAAACATTTCCTCTGGATTTATAAAAAAGAAATCCCCAAACATGAGTTTTGGCGCACTTTGGTCCCTCCCTGGCCCACTGTGCGACGGCTTTAAGTCCTC